ATTTACGATTGTTAATGTCCAATTAGCAGGAGAGGGTTTTTGTTGCTTTTCATCCCTGATTACGCTGCGTCGAGTAGGTCTTTCTCTGCCAGCGCATTTTATTGCGTTTAATGACAACACTAAAGAGCTGCCCGACCTGGCGCGCTTGCTTTATGCCTTATTGGCATGCCGCGCGTTAATTAAACACTTTTACGGCTCCCAAAAGGCCGGCCAATAATTTATGCGCTCGTCCTTTGGTCCTTTGGTGCGTGCGGATTGTGTCCGGCGTGTGCGTACACACTGCAGTAATCCCAACAACTTTTACATTTGATGAAATATTTAATAAAAATTAAATCAAACAGGAATAAAATATTAAATTTTAAGTTTTTGTGCCAAAAAGTCTTTTTTTTGTTTATTTTGTTTATTTTTTGGGTGTTAGAAGGTTAATTTTAAATAAGCGTTGGTTGGGTCTGTTGTTAAATTGTTGTACGAATACGAAAGCGAGTCTTGTGCCTTGATTAATCCAATTAAAACGTGTTACTCTTGCGTTTCAAAGAGTTTTCTCGTTGTTTCGTGCCGCATTTCGAAATTAGGCACGCTGTGCGCGTTCGTTTTACATTTTACGTTTCAGACGCTGTACAAAAACTACCAAACAATATGTTTTATTCGATTAACCCACCAGACGTATATAAACAATTTACATAACTTACTATATAGTTTTTGTCGTGATTAAAGACGCTATTGGAGACTTTTCGTCACTTGCATTGTTACATTACTCAACTGCGTCGTTTTTTTTTCCATGGCGTTTTTTTGTCTACTTTTTGTTTGGCGCGTTTTTAAGGTGTAAAAGTACACAAAGCACTCTCAATATCTAGCGCTAGCAACAATAAGTCATTCAATCATTGTCACTTTCATAACGCTGCAAACAGCTCGAAACTTTTAGGACGCGACGCGACGAAACGCGAAAACTAAACTAAACGCGATGAGAGTCCTCGGAAAATATATAAAGCCAGACGAAAAGGCGAAAAGAATGCGAGCTGAGGTGAAGTTAAGTTCTGAGGAGAAACATATTACATGATGAACGTGCAAGTTTCACCTAAAAGTAAAAAAAACTTACACAGAACAACGGAACTTGTAAGAAATATCAAGGAAAAAAAACTGAAAATTTTTAAAAACTTGTTAACTAAGTATTAAGAAGTGAAGAAAAAATATAATCAATGAAGTTTAATAAATTTTATATTGTTACTGATATTTTCTCAAATTATGATCTCATGTACAAGACACTTGTTCGTTGCAATTGCAGTTAAATCATTATTCGCAATCCATACTTACGCGTAGCTTGCCATCGCTCCCCGTTATCTTATTATTAATGCCACGGATGATTTGCCGAGAGCAATAATAACTCTTGGTGTGTACAGCGTCTGTGTCTCTCCCGCTGCCGCCCCCGAGAGTGGGTTGTGTACACCGCGCTCGCAATTACGCCCCCGCCCCTCGCTTACAATGCGCCTCCGCAATTACGAGGATAATAACGACCGCACAAAACAAATCCTTATCTCGAGCTCGCGCGCGAACACAATATGTTTAATACCAGCCAGCGCAAGCGGGCGAAATAAGAAAACAAAACCGAACGGCGTTCGACGACGGCGGAATTCAAACGATCTGCGATATTGTCTACGGCGACAACGCACTTGAATTAAATAAGTAAATAAACAACGCGAGAAGAGAATGCACGACGAGAAGATGACAAATTCTATTATGTATTTTCTATTATAATTAGCACTTTGTGTATTGTATTGTTACAAATAATAGAATGAATTAATTGTATTAACATCATTAAGATGATGCACTTGAATGCGGATATATGTTGGTTGGTGATAATTATTTTGCGGTAGTGTTTATGTCATGTTAAACATATGTAAACGATGATTTCGTTTATGAAAATATCGAAACGGGAAATTTCGAGCTTTGTTTGCTGCGAATAATTAAAATTGACTAATGATCTGTGCGTATTACAATATTGCGGCGAATTGCTCTCAAGCGTGCGTTGTTTGTGCGTTGTTTTGGGGAGGCGGCGTCGCATGCGCGGCGATAATTAATTGTAATTGTTTGACTATTTGTCCAGACAAATGGTTATTTAATTTCTCTATTTCGAACGCCAATATCGCCAGCAACCACACCCGACATTGCATCGTTTGCGATGCGGTAATGTGCAGCTTGTGCTCGTTGAACATTTCCGGCTATTGAAATTTAAATGTTCTGTCAACAGGTAAAGGTAACATTTGAATGCGTTTAATTTGTTGTAATAATATTGAGCAATAAACAGGAATTGTTGTGGGTACGAGTATGCCGATGAGATTGATATTTCGATTGGTTTAGTTTTTCGGTAATTACCCGCGAATTGTTTGAGGTAAATTAATTATTTCTTCTAATATTAATAAAGTATTAAATTCTAAATGAAATATTATCAGGTTTGTGTTGTTATCTATATTTTATCACAAGTTATTTAGCTTTTTCGTAATTTACTTCAAGTTGTTAAGCAAAAAACGCATTTTAATTGTTTATAATTATTTATTCTACTTTTTAATCAACAAAATATTGACTCAGGCAGATGTAGAATTTAATTAAGAATATTTTCCTGAAATAATTGTAGTTTTAGCTGATATGGTATTTGCGTTATTAAATAATTGGCTACGAAATTAATATTTCGATTGTTTTAGTTTTTCATTAATAATTCGCACACTATTAATGCAAAATTAATTATTTCTTCAAAAATTAGTAAAGCATTTAATTCTACATGAAATATTATCAGGTTTATATTGTTATCGATATTTCATCACAAGTTATTCAGCTTTTTTGCCGATTTATCGAATTTTTTTTCAAAAAACGCACTTTAAATGTTTATAATTATTTATGCAGATTTTTAATCAACAAAATTTTGGCATAGTCAGATGTAGAATTTAATTAAGAATTTTCACCAGAAATAATCACAGTTCTAGCAGATATGATATCCGTGTTATTAATTAAAAACTGCACGCTTCAATGTTTATGTAAAATTTTTATTTTTGTCCGTTTTTTTTTTTTATTTTTCTCCGCTGCGTTTTAATTACGAACATACATGTCGAATGAGCTGAGCTGCGCTCAGTACGAGTAAAACTATAATTACGATAGCGTCCAGAGAATATTCTTCTCGGGCTCGTTTTGCTTTTATTTCCGCAGCTAGTTGGAAAAGTAGCCCACTACTAGCCAAGAGTAGGCAACCAGGCGTACACGAGCGGATGCGCTAGTTATGCGAAACGAACAGCATGCACATATCGCCATATCACAAACGAGATAACATTGAGGAAACGCCAAGAAGAAATTTTGCATAAGCTCATAAGCATTCTGCTAGCGAGCGGGAAAGAGTTGAAAAGTTGCGGGTAGCGTTGCGGAGGAGCGTAATAAAAGAAATTTTAATTGCGCTCGGCAATTAGATGTATTCATAAAAACTAATGAAACTTCATCGCGTCGGTTCGTGCCGCGTCTTGAACTCAACGCAAATTTCTAGACTTGGAGAATATTCTATACCTACTTGTGGAACCTGCAAGGAAAACGTTTGGGTTTATTTTCCGAGCGCTGGAGTTTTTCTTGAAAACGTTTAGGAATATTAATATGAGCATAACCTAACAAGCAAGAAAAGTAGAACGGAAAAGTATGTAGTGTTCGGTTTTGTACGGCAAGTCAAAGCATAGGGGTTTGTAAACACATTTTAAAGAGGAATAAATAATTCTGATTTACACCGGAAAGTAAAAATTTTTGCACCTGTTTGGTGCGTTTTCCGGCTTTCGGAAGAAATGCTTCGAATTTAAGCGCGTTTTTATTGCCGCCCCCGCGCGTGTGCGCTTTATTGCCGCCGAACATTCATAATTTCGCCCTGGCTTTAGTAATGCGCGCGCCAACTGGCAAGTGGTAACAATTCGAAATTAATTTAGTACGTGCAAGACATTACGACTGCGCCCAAAATGGCCGACACCTCTGCGTCTTGCAGTATCTACTTCTACTACTGAGCAATTAATGTAATGACAATTTTATTTCCCAAGTTACACTATTAAAACTATTATAGTTATAGTTGTAGAAAATAGTTTTGCATTTGTTTATTTTTCTTTTGTGTGTGTGTGTGTGTGTGGGATTAGATACAATAAATGCAAATCTTAATCTTAAATCTGTTGCGATAGTTGGTGAAATACACATGTGTCAGATTGCATTATTAAACTATCGTTGAACGACACTTTTATTGCATCTGAAAGCGAAGTTTTCGCTGTCACGCCATCGAGGAAGTGCTTTGCGCAATTGTCATCGTTATTTATTGCGCGAATTTTATGTGTCGCGTTTATAGTGCGCTCGTTCTGTGCGCTACACATCGTAATGTTCCTGTTTGTATGCAGCTTGTTGAATGTAATCTACATAAATATGTGTATCTATGTATTCAACATTTTTCTTCTTTTTCCACGTGTTTTCATGATTTTAAGACATAAAAAGTGATACTTTAAACACAGTAGTGACTAAAGTACTTTAGTCACGGGGTGGAGTTTGCGCCTGCCTATTTGCTTATGTCGCAGCAAAAGACCATTGTGAAATGCATTGAATTTGTTTTTTCTAGTATTTGAATAATTAAGAGTTTCAATAGAAGGTTTAAAACCCAAAAATCATATTTTTTTCATATTTTGATTTAACTGCAATTTTTAACTCTATATATGAATGGTTATCAACGATGTCACAGTTATAAGTCGCTGGTAATGATGTGAAAAACGAGCGGCCTTTTGTACTTTCGAAAATAAGCGGCAATTCGATGAAAAATGCCACTTTTTTCGATTGATTGCGCTTTCGGCGTTTTGCAATTACGAACGGCATTTGGCGACTCTTTTTTATTTTCGACAATTTTTATTTCCTAAAACTCGCACACGCTTAAAACATTTAAAAGAATAAAATAAAAAAGTCGAGCGACTTTTTCGACGTAACCTAATCGAACGGCTTCTTGTTTCCAGACGGCAACTACACCGATATGAATTTGAATATTATGAATATAAACATCCAATATTTGACACGTAAGTCGGGGTCATGCGCTGCCAGCTGTAAATTTGCTCGGCACGATTTAAACTAAAACAGAAAAACAAAAAAAAATACCGCGCGCACGATTTGCGTGCGTTTCGGATTTTAGCGAATTTACTCTCGCATGAAAAATTCCCCGATTGTGTAAATATTTGTATGGATATAAATATCGTTCGGGCTATAAAATGCCCCACACGAGTGGTCGGCTGTGTGTGCGGAGGTAATGCTAAAACTATATGTTTTTGGGCTCGTTTTCGACGTATCTATCGATATATTTTATTTTCGGCGTATTTGCAGGCATAAAAAGCGGATTTCGGAGATTTCGAATGTGAAATGTCAGTTTTCGAGTATGAGTTTAAAGTCATATCCGGCAGAGGATGAAACAGCTGAAAATTGACATGTTTGCAGCGAACGTGTTGCACATTTTATTTCCGCTCATCAAAACTATTTAAACTGAAAAATAAATATTTGCGCGCTTATATGTCATCAATGCGTCAAATCAATTTTTTTATTTTTATTTATTCCTAGCGCAAGATAGAAATTTTTAAAGATTTTGGTTTGTGAATTTTGCAAGTTTTGTAAGCGGTATAATATTACATGTCACGCGGATGACGGACAAGCACCTGATGAGTTTTTCACGTGCCGAATCTATTTTTACGATCGGCGCGCACGTTTTTCGGCACATTCGCGAAATCTAATCGATGCGCGGCGCGGGAAATTAAAAAAATATTTAATTTCGCACGCGGCGCACGTTTGACAGCGCGTGCACGCATGTAAAGTGCTCGCGGAATTAATCACAAACACAGGAAGCGAAATAACCAGTTGGGATTTTTTTCATCGTGGTAAGTTTCAAAATTTCAAGCGGCAGCAAAAAAAACTAATTTACTAGGCTTACTTTGTGTTTGTATGACCATCATAAACACTTTGATCTTATACAGGAAACGCGACATTATTGCTCATATATGCAACCAAATATACACAAATGTTTTGCGGGTTGTCTAAAAAAAGCAAACCGGACGTCGGTCTACACACGTTGTTTCGCGAGTTATTCATTATTTGTAATATTGCTCAGTCTCGCCGACGAAGAATTTTTTTTTTTTGGAAACTCGAAACTCGCGATACATTTTATGCATTTTTTGCGACTTTTTGCCGCTTTCCACCGACACAGTGCACAAAGGGTTAATAACTTTTTATTATACACTCTATAATTTCCCGTCTCTGGTCGTCGCCGTCGAGAGAGTTTAACTTTTGTCGTTGTTATGTGTTGTGTCGCGCGCCGACTTTTATTCCGTGTTTTGTCATTTCGCGCGCCTTGTTTGCCCCGGTTTTTTTGTTTCATCAAACGCGCGAGATGTGGTCACGTTTTCATTCGGGTGTAATTTACACGTCGGCGCGTTTCAAAACGGAAAATGAGGCATTTTATGCGCCGCAAAGATTTTTTTAATGAATTTTATCTGCGCGTTAATAATCAACGTAAAATACAATAATTTACGCATTGATTTCATGGAAAAATCAATTAGACTAAAATGTAACATGTTACGTGTTTCGCTTTGTTCCCCGCGCGCGCAGTATTCCTATCATAAGCACGCGTCCACGAGTCTAATTTCAAATATTTGCTTTTAATTTCGTTGATTGGGTCGCCTCGGATTCTTGCCGCGCGTTTGGAACGCGGGGTATCTATGTACTAATTAAGTGGATTCGCTTTTAATCAGAGACGATCGGTAATCGAGTTTTTCGCTCTCGGCCCACCGCACGATGTGTGTATTACCGCCCCGATTCCGGATTTTGTTGGATGCCTAATTTGATTTATCCGCCCGGCCAAACTTTCCAGACTAGACCACAAAAATACACACACGCGCGCCCGCACAAATCGAATCTTCAGCATCGACGTCAATAAAGTCCGAAAATCTCGCGTAAAACTTTTCGATTATTTCATCTTGTTATTTCTTCTCGTTTCCGGTTTGTGGCGGTAATAGTGTGTACTTTTGTGTTATATTTCGTTTTCATTTCATTAGCGTGTTATTTTTCGCACGCCGGGAGGCCAAATGGCATTTTATTACGCACGTCGAGGGGAATTATGTTGTGATTTTCATTAATTTGCGCCCGACATGAGCTTAATCACGTGCAACGCGTGTTGCAGCGTTTTTCACGCGTCCCCAACATGTCCGCGCACAATATGCGTGCTTTTCTCTGTGTGAGTTTGGACGGTTAATAATTAATAATGTTGTTTTAATGCGCTCAAATGTAGCTGTAAAATTTAATGTTTTCGTGTTTTGCGAGGCGCGATTCCGCGCGCGAATATGACCCGCATCATTGTAATGAAATAATGAAATTATTACCGCCGAGCTTTCATAAATAATATTCCGTATACGTTAATATACAATCCTACTACGCGCGTAAAATAATCAATATACAAATAAATAATTTAGTAATTTTTTGTTATTGGAGAGTAACTGGATGGATTTTGATTAGTTGAATGGGAATAAGTGTTGAATTGAGGCACTTTTAAGTTTTCCGCTCTTGACGAGTGAAAAACGAACCAAGTGGAATGAAGTCGGTAATTATGCAAAGTAACGTCTTAATTGCCAGTTTGCAATGTCTAGGGTGCGGGTTGAACGAATGCTATGAACTAAAACGTAGTGAAATGAAACGAATTTTTAAATTTAAAGTTTTTCAACGTTAAAATCAAATTAAAATTTTATTTTACTTAAAAAACTTTTTTATTCTCAATTTATTAATATTTTTTACATTTTCTCAAATAATTTCTTCTTAATTTCTTCTTGACGTGAGTAAATTGTAGCAAAATAATTTCTTGCATGTTTTTCCAATTTTTTCTTATTCATACATTAAACTCGTTTACTTTTATTATTAACTACTTACTCCTCGACATATTCCAGAGTTAGAAAGGTGTACTTATTGCTGAAAGTACTGTTTACTAGTTTAATTCTAGTTTTAGTGCGTTACACGCCGAAAACTAGCAAATTACCTCGATGATGTAAACGATGCAAACGAAGCCTCGCGTGGCCGACCGAACGAAAAAGGAGAGTATTTGCGGGGGCTAAATCACGTCGAGAGTAAACGTTTCGGCCGCCCACGCTCATTCATCATGTTTGATGGTCATAAAGTCTTCGCAGCACTTAATTACGACCAGAAGAGCGACACGCGAATTCATCATTTGGTCGCTGCTTTAATTTTTCCTCCGTTTTTTGATAAATTACTTATTTAACCATCGAGGGTAAATATTTTTAATCACAATATTTATCGCCAAAAATATTATTTCGGTGGTTTAAATAGGTCACTATTAATTTTTTAATTGTGCGCATAATTTCGTTGTAAATCGCGATGTTAATGATAACATGACGCTGGAGTTTCACACTGAATGGTGCGTGCACATTCATTGTCGAACCGTTGAATACTTGAATGTGCAGCCGACCAAAATGCACACCGGTGGAGAGGCGGCTGAAGTTTGTTTATTGTTTGGTTTGTGCATTCAGACGAGAGCCGCGCTGCGCTGTGTGGCGCACTGCCAAATTATTCACCATCTGCGCGCACGGAAAGCCAAACATTTTACAAACATAAATTTCATTTAAATATTCAATAATTATTATCTATTTTGGTATAATATTTAATGTTTGATATGTGCCATGATGGAAACGAGCCCAAAAATAAACCAATTATTTTGTATTGCGAATAAATGGAATGGAGTTCTCTTTTTTTTATATATATTTTGGACTGTAACACCATTTTTGTGCAATGCGGAAGTGGAGTTTTTCATGCGAGATAAAATTCTGCAAACGCTGAATAATTTTTTATTGTTTATACAAAAAACAAGTGAATAGAGGGATCAGCGTGCAAATATTTTATATTTTTGAAATAAATGCGTAAATATGAAATAATCCTGATCTCTTCTATTGTTATATTGTTATATACAAGGTGTTTTTATTAAAAAATTTATTTCTGGTGGAAATTTGATGAAGATTTGAATTTGTTTTAATTTTGCTTTGAATTTGTCTGTTTCAGATCCGCCTGAGATTGTTATGAAGCCGCGTAATATGCAGGTCAAGGCTGGTGGTATTGCGTCTTTCTATTGTGCCGCCCGCGGCGACCCGCCCCCGAGCATCCAGTGGAGAAAGAACGGAAAACGCGTTTCAGGTAAGCAGAAATCTCTTTCTCATCAATTTTCGTAAAACAATAAAATTTTCAATCAAAATTTTGATTTTTTTTCTGAAGATGAAGATATAGGCTACCAATAATACAATTTGATTGTTTTGTTAAAAAATATTTTTTTGCGATTCCGAAAATTTAAAACCATTGTGCGTCTTATTCTGTGCATTTTTCGTCTACGCTGTGCGTGGCTCTTCTTTTATCTTATCTCGTTGATTCAATTAAATTAAATTACCGACATTAATTAAGTATTCCGTCTGCGTGTTTCGTCGTGCTGGCGTCCGCTTAGAATTACTCCTTTAAATACTTTACGCTTCGCTTTTAGGCTTTTCGAAACGAATTTCTTTGAGTGTTCTACAAAAAAAAAATCAAAATATTTTCTTGATTTTAAATTCTAGATATTAATTAATGATAAAATATTAATATTACGCATAATTATTAATTAAATTTCGAATTATTTTACGCAGTGTCATGCAAATGGTAAATACGCGTAATTTTATTGCACTTGCTATAATCGCGCTCGCGAATAAATATGATAAAAATGATTTATAAACTTTATTAATTACGCGTCTCGGTGGCATTATTTTCGGCGCTAACAAATGTTTTAGCACTGCTGGCGCACGAGCTCGTTATTAGTGAGAATCATCCATTATACATCTCGTCGATAAATAATAAAATATAACGCGAAATGGTTAATTTATTGGCACTCGTTAAATTTATGCAAAGAGATTTTGCGAAAACGCGCCGCGCCTACACAGCGTATACAAAACCTGCAAGAGAAATTAGTCCCGCGACGACGACGCCGCCGCCACCGCGGCCGCCCCAGCAGCCGCAAAACAAAACGTGCGTTGATAAATTTTATTAAATTAACTCATGTCAAAACACTGCGGAGGAAGCGCATTTATTATTTATTTCCATTGGTTCGTATATTATTTAAGCAGGCCATAATGATAAGTATAGAATACTATACTTTATTCACGAGTATTGAATAAATATAAAATATTTATTTCACAGACGGAATTTTATTTTAAAGAAATGAAAAAATGTTAAAAATTACTTCAGCGCCATCTAGGATTCAATTATTTGACTATAAATATGATTGAATTGCTATATGAACTTCCAACTCTTATTTAACACCTTTTAAGACATAATTATAAATATTTTAAAAGATATTCTACTAATAGGGACCAAGATGAATCCAAAAATGCATTGCTCATTAAAATCTAACCAGCGGTTCTTGAGTTATAAGTGTTGTAACTAACGTGACTTTATTTTATACATATTTATTGAATTATTTAACAATTTGATCAATATACCTGCGTATTATGTTTGAATAATGATTAATTCAATATGGGATACTACCGTTTTTGTTTATCCAACTAATAAGCAATTTTTTTCATCCCTTGTGTGGTATGCGCCCGCACGAAAAGACATTGTGCAAACATATTAAGCCGTGACGACCACAATAAAATCGCCATCGTCCTCGATTACCACCGTTATGACTGTTATAACTTGACCGCAACTTATTGAAATGTTTACCGAGTATTATACGAGAGCACATACAATATGTTCAAAATATTCAACGCGAAGAAGAAGAAAAAAAACTAAATTAATTTATACCAGGAGTTGCAAAGACGGGAAATTGAAACCGCTTTGCCTAATATTAATAATTTACAATCGGCGCGATGCACGAAGGGATAACGAGAGAAGGTAGAGGCGGCAGCGGCAAATATGAAGACACCACTACTACACAACATCACTAGGGTTTTGATATTCGTCTTCACGCCGAAAGGTAGCAGCGCAATTCTCAAGTATAGGTGGATGTATGAGTATGGGTGTTGTTGCCATGCGATGCGATAAGACTTTACCGGGCGCGCACGATGCAGCTTTTCGCCGTGCGAAGGAGTGGAAAGTGGAAGGCGCACGCTAAGCGTTCATGAATTAGTAATGAGCGCGCGCGTTTCGCAAGATTGTTGTTGCAAGCAACCCAACGCACACTCACGGTGTAAGACTGGTTGCCTAGCCCTGTGTTTGTGTGAGTTGGGTTGCGCGCGGAGAGAGGAAGACACGTCGAACTTGGAAAAGATACGGAACGCCCGGGACGATCTTAACACACACCAATACACACAATATCGATATTGTATCCGCGTGTAAGTATGAGTGTGCACGGCGAATATTATTGGGATTGAGGATAATATTCGAGGACGAAGGGAGGCGAAGGCGACGTCGCCGTCGCTCGGGCGTAACGAAACACTCACGTAAATTGACATTAAATTTCGTTCTAATAACATTTGCTTTACCAATGTTATTATCGCGTTTATGTTGTTTTGTTGCGCCTGTGCGGGTGTGTCTCAATCAATTTTATCGCCCGCACGCGCAGATATAAATGGCTGCAAATAGTTGCAGGCGATACCGATACTACTAACAAACACACTAAAAAGTTGTAAAAAATGTCAGTGACGATTGCACTCTACGCACTATAATAAATGCCAACGCGTTGGCGAAATATTGCAAACACAATGGCATGCAATCAATTAATTTATCAAACGATTTGATTCGTCGAATTTGATGAACGCCGCCGGCTCGTGAATGGGCATATCGGGACGTTTAATGAACGTCACGAACGGAAATTAGTTTTTAAATTTCCAAAATATAATAATTGGAAAATGCACGCTTGGAGTTATATTATTTTTTATCTACTCGTATGTATTTTTGGTTGCCTATGTTTTACTCACTATAACCTTAGGCTGAAATGTTCGAAAATTTTGTTTCCTAGGGGCGTTAAACACATTTTTATTTTTATTATTGCGATAGTCAGACATTGCATTTATTGTTCTCGTAATTTAAATCGTTTTACTTCAGTTTAATGCAATTTAAAGTTAAACCGAATTTTATTTTAAAGAAATGAAAAAATGCTTAAAATGCATTTTAACGCCATCTAGGAATGAATTATTCAACTATAAATATGATAGAATTGCTATATGAACTTCCAACTCTGATTTAACACCTTTTAAGACATAATTTTTTATTATTTTAATAATTATTCGGCTATTTAGGACCAAGATGAATCTAATAATTCATTGATCATTAAAATCTAAGCAACGGTTCTTGAGTTATAAGTGTTGTAACTAACGTGACTTTGTTTTATACATATTTATTGAATTATTTCACAATTTAATGAACGTCACGAACGGAAATTAGTTTTTAAATTTCCAAAATATAGTAATTGGAAAATGCACGCTTGGAGTTATATTATTTTTGATGTACTCGTATGTATTGTTGGTTGCCTATGTTTTACTTGTTATAACCCTGGGCTCGTGAAATGAAAATTTTGTTTCCCAGGGGCGTTAAACACATTTTTATTTTTATTATTACGATAGTCAGACATTGCATTTATTGTTCTCGTAATTTAAATCGTTTTACTTCAGTTTAATGCAATTTAAAGTTAAACCGATCATAAAAAGCGCGCACATTTACGAAAAGAGCGCTAGATGGCGATAGACATCAGACTATCAGCCAGGACGATAATGCATCTCGAGCAAACAACGAGTGAACGCAAAATGCACACACGCACACACCGCCAGGGATGATTTATGTTGATATAAAGACCATTATTAGATCGCGCTTGCCCGCGCCCGGAAAACTGAAAGAATCATGTTCCAACATTACATACCATGTGTCTCCCGACATTCCCCACACATCACAAGCGCGTGTGTTTAGATTGGTTTGCGTTTGCATACGGAGCTCACCCCTGCCAACTCCCTAATGCACTGCGAACTGATATGATACCCATCATATCACCCCGTATCACATTGATAGGTGAAGCTCTGCTCCCTCGCTGCACAAAAGCAATTGATGGGCGCCGCCCTGCTATACACCTGTAAAAACATTTTTTTGCTTCGTTTTTTATCTTCGGGAGATAATGGACATAGATTGAAAGCGATTAAAAATACATTAATGTAAAATTATGTTTAATAACAAAATAACTATTATTGCAGGTTCACAATCGAGGTATCAAGTGAGAGATTTCCCCGATGGTGGCGCCTCCTTGCGGATAGAACCAGTGAAAGCGTCGAGAGATGACGCCACCTACGAATGCGTCGCTGAGAATGGTGTTGGAGATGCTGTTAGTTCCGAAGCGACACTTGTCGTCTTTGAAGGTAAGATTTTCTATCTAATTCTATTGCGCGGCCATTGGTTGTGCAAGTAATTTAATGTTAAGTTAGGTTTGGTGTGATGGTGGTGGTCTATGTCTGCTTTGTTTTGTTTTGGTATTGAATCGAATTCAATTTCTGATCGCGTACCATGCAATCGATTCGATTCACTTTCGATCTTTCGACCGCTACCGCACAGCACAGCATTCACCGAGATTGCGAAGTTTGCGCACGGAAATTCGGGGCGAGCGTTCGCGAAACGTGCCCCCGCAAGTTTAATGAATTTCGCCGCTTTTCATTCACTCGCGCGCCCGCCATTTGCAATTCAGTCGATGGACGTAAATCACACGCAACACACCGCATGTAAATGCACCAGTTACATTTATTACGCAGACATTACACGCCGCCGCCAGCCTCGAGAGATAACATACATTTGTATTATTTATCGGTTATTTTGCCTAAACTCAGGTTATGCGCATGAATAATAGCAAAGTGAGTTTCATTTCGTAAATGTAAGAAATCGTTGCGTAACCTCAACACTCTGCCCAACACATAACCTCCAATTAACATTGCGCGCGTCGTTTATTATTGTTTATACCTTGAGTTGAATTCGTGCATGCGCGCATATGCATGCATCGGGGTGTAATATTTAATATTCGCATTCGTTCCGTTTCGCCGCCTCCCGACAACGTCGTAACTCTCATTACTATTAACTTCTTTGCCATGGTCCTGCAGCGTCGCGCCGCCATTTTGTGTGATTACAGTTTCCTGTATTTATTCACATATACACATACGGCAAGTGTGTAAGCGCAGGCGAGCGAACAAAGCAAAACGTCGACGTTCACACGCGCTCGCTCGCAGATTCGAATGCGAGGCGTCTGCGAGCATAAATAATGCTCTCTCTTGTGCATTAATTAAATAATTATACCCTCGGGGCGGTTGCGAAACATTTGTTCTACTTCGCTAATTAGAAATTACAATCCGTAAATGCGTGCGGTGCGCGCGTATGCAGAATAACTACGAATAAACGTTTGCGGTGGAAGATATTCACAATAGAAATACACTAGTACTTTCAAAGTTTAATATTGTACCCGAACAATTCTATATAATAAATTATTTCTTAATTTTAAATTCAAAAATTTTCAATCATTGTGTATTACTGCCATCTGACGGGCGTTTGGTGAACTAAGGACGCGTCCTGCTCTCGCGCTTCGCTGCATCACGCCACTAGCCTCTCAGTCAGTTACTCAGTTGAGAAGTGTGTGCAACGTGCAACGTGTTCGAGTCTAACAAGAAATATTCCTGTTTTGCCTTGTTTTGTGCCATTTGGTGACCATCAACCAGTCATCCAGAATGATTACTGCAGCTATAAGGTAATCACGATTACAACCATTTGATAACCGTTATGAATTCGATGTCAGCTCGCGAATTATTTGGTCAATTACGCGTGCAATGCTGAAAATACGCATCTGCATTCAGTTATTAATCTGTGATAATTAGCTTTATCGGTAATTTACTACCACTACCACTGATTATCTTCATGTGCTTAATTAATTCCATATACTCGTATTATACATGCAATAGAAATGCATTAGAATATTTTCTAGAATTTTTCTTGTTTGTTGTCGGCATGCGGTTTTTATCTCGTCGATGCTGATACGATACGACAGGACGACCTACATAAACCGATAGCAGCACAGCGCGCGTTCGTTGCACGTCATCTCTTGCTAGCGTTGCGCGCGGATCTCGAAGAGAGGCGGCAGGTGTCCGCTCTCATCGGCGTCAAATTTAATATGTTTGCATGCGTAGCGCAAGACTTTGCGCGCGGAATATTCTCGAAAATTCCCGCCAGCAAACTTAATATCTATCTTTACTTGCATGTGTGTGTGGAGAAATATTTGATTTGTTTGGAGTTTTGTTTACATTTAAAACGTCGCGATGAATAATTTAAGATTTTCTTCGTCGTCGTGCGGTTGCGGGCCAAAAGATAAATCTTAATCTCTAGTTTGGTTAGACCATAAATAATTTCCAACCCTCCACCCCCAACCGCAGGGGGCGGCGGCGGTGGAATTTAACTTGTGACGGCAACATTTCTTCCTGTTCTCTTCAGTTCCTCTGCCTGGCTGGTTTTGCATGAAGTCGACTCTCCCGACGATTCGTACCCTCTCCTTATCTAGTGTTTCTGATTCTGACAGAAGAAGCGCTGAAAGGCGGGCGGGCGGGCGGGCGGTGGAGCAATGCGCGCCCGGCGAAGTCTTAATTAAAACATATTTTACGAATGATAACTAAATTGTTCGCTGTTAGGTTTGCGTTTTGCATACATTAGACACCCGCACCCGAAATGAACATTTGCAAATATCCGGAGTTTTCCACTCTAACCAACCTTTGCTAGCTTCCATCTTTCTTCAGCGCGGTTTAGGGTTTGGTTTCTGCGGTTGCAAGTGACGAGGACTAAAGACTTAATACTTGAGACTTTCGACTTTTCCTTCTTCACCAACACTCAGACATAGGAAGATATTTTAGTAAATACATATTGTATTACACAAATCTATACACATACAGAAATGACTTGGGTTATGTGTATGTGTTGGGACTGCTAAGACTATTAATACCACAAGTTAGGCGGAAACTGCCAGCATGCGGAAGGTTTTCCACTCCTTTTCTCTGTTCCCCGCCAGCAATGTTTCATTTCTACCAGGAGAGGAGACACACTGCAAAGAGTGGGCGTGCGTTTGGGTAGGCAGCCAAGCATACACGAAAGGAGGTGGTTGGGTGTTGCCCCGCCGCGTTTGCAGACGCGCAGAAGGAAGTTAATATGTGTCTGCGCGAAGGAAGAACCGAAGAAATATTGGCTGCGTTCGGATCATATTTTAAAGTGAATTTTATTTTTCCAGTGCAAAGCTAGCACGCTGAATGAAAACTTTATATTTTAAAATAGTAAAAGGGATGGAATTTCGAAGATGGGTTAGGTTAGTGTCGTAAAGTATAATGTTTCTACTATTTTTCTTCCAGTGCCGTTCTGTGTGTGAGTATGGGTGTGTTTTTTGTAAAATGAGCACGTTTCTTGGTCCTCGGCGTCTTTTCATCCCTCCCGCGACGGTGTTTTACTTTACATTCATAAGTAGCCGAGCGGCGCGCACTATTTCATATCAGTTACCCACCTCTTGACAGACTTGCGCGCGTGGTGGCTTCCGGTCGCCATTTTTCATTCTTTTCGGAGCTCATTTTTTGGCACCCGTTTGTTGCTGAAATGTGAATGTTTGTATTTTCACGCGGAAAAAATTTTATTTTTCTCAAAATTTATTTAATTATTACCCTGTATAGTGGTAAATTTTGCACACACGTTTTCCACACTTTTTGCATACACATTTATGCCCTGCGCCACGTATTCCCGCCGGCGATATGTGTACCAGTGGGGTAAGTAACTCGAGTAACAACTTCCCCAAAGGCTGGCGCGTCTGCCGCACCTCTCACCACTCACGCAAAGAATGGCATGAGGGAAACAGAGCAAAAAAAGCACGAAACACCTTCGCCGCGGTGAAATAATATAAGAGGACACGCGCTCATGCGTTCACTACGTAAGTGTCGTCCGCGTCCTGAGCCATCCTCTTTGCTTACACACCTCAGCGCCTGAAATATTCCACGGACGCGTGCGTTTTAACTTTAAATATATTTTTCTTTGGCATTTCTTTTCTGCAAATACTGCAATGTAAACGTCGGGTGTCTATATCATTGGGAGTTGAAAATGTGTTTTTTTTGTAAAATATGTGAGAAAATGGGTTTGCGTTGTTGACTCAGTGTGATGTTTGAAACATTTGACACTGTATTTGCTTAAATTTCGTTGTATTTTCTTCTTTTTTGCTTTGTAAAATGCTTTTTGGATTTCCACTTGACGCAACAAACAAAACATTAAAATACACTTTATTTAAATTTTAGTAAGTTATAGATATCCATATAAAACTAAAATTAAATTTAAACATAAATTGAAATATTACAACGTATCTGTTACATACACACTTTTGAAAGTAATATTATGCACAATATAGAGATGACAATGTAGCCTATTTTATGTAACATTGTCTTTGCCTGTCACAACCAATTCACCGCGTATTTATTTTTGTCATCCATCTTTTTGCAATTGTACATGAAAGGTTTTGTTATTATCCACCTGATACCCATACCACCGGCGCATTACACCAATATTTCTCGTGTTACGCAATGCAATTTAACTGCCACCGCCATAAAAACCTATTTTTATTTAGTACGCGTGCGAACCAATCTAATAGATAACATTTTATGACTCTTCAAATTCCCACACACACACACACAACTCAACAGTGTTGACGTGAGGTTATGTCTGGTTACGTGTCAATGTTTCGTCGCATTGTTTGTATGATGATGATGCGTCAGGTGAATTAATACAAATTATGATTACGTGTATACTAGGGTGGTGGTTAAAAAAGGGTTCATTGCGCTTCGAAGTGAGATGGTGAATGGCGTTATTTCAATTTGTTTCGTCACCATTTTCATAATGATGTACGAATGTATTACGTACGTTTAATGTGATAATAGATAATACAGGGGTGAAGTGGACGGCAGCCGACGCTCACGCACGTGTAGACTGCATGCGCGATGAGTTGATATTAATTAATTTGTTTGTGTGGGGGCGAATTGAAATTGAACACGAAGCGTAGGCAAAGAAATAAAACATACGCGTTTATTAGGCAACCAAATACACATTTCAACATAAAGAAAGCCTCGTATTTGTTTGTTTTCAATTAATTTTAGAATTTTAAACTCATTGTAGGGGAAGGTAGCATAATTTGGACCAGCGCCTAAGTTGGACCACCACGATATCCGCGGACTGTTGAAGTTTATGCAAAAATTGACTGGCCCCTTGTTTTACTCGTATTTATAAACAATTAATGCAACTATTTGGGTTAAAACTTGCCGCGTGCTTTCGTCGTGACAACAACTTCGTGTATCATTGATTATCAAATCTATTA